TTCTAAGTAATCATAATGCTAATATATGTTGCATGTATTCTATTTTTATTTGTAGAATCCTTGATAAATTAGAAATCTAGGAACATTTTTAAGCAAATAGCAACTACCTTATATGTTTAAATATATTTATATAAATATAAAACATTAACCGATGCGTTACAAGAATTGCAATTATAAAGAAGAGAGAAAGTATTTCAATATTTAAAAATAAATTTTTTATCCATTATATTTTATGAACTTTCTTGTTATGAATGCCTGATTGCTTGTGTAACATTATTTACAATCTTTCCATCACAAGATTGCGATGCGATCAAGAATTGTATTAAAATTGAAATGTATGTAGTGATAATACCTATTATCTATAAAAACAAAATTATAAAGTAAATGTTGTAATTTAATTTAAGGTATTCAAACAATTGTGTTAATTGATTGTTTTACTCACTCATTGTGAGAAGTGTCGCGTCCAGAGAGAGACATTTTGCAGAGAATATATTGTCACGATGCAGTATTTGCAAAGAAAATAGCTGTAATGTTAAATAAAAAAACATTTACAAATTGATTTGGGAAACGTGTAATTATAAACTGTATAATTATATACAGTATATATACATATATATATTATATATAATATATAAGGTGAACATTTATTATAATTTTATCTTTGAAAGTACGCGAATCAAAAATATGTTTAGACAAAAGTTGAGTTCAATGGGAACAAATAATGATAAAATCAATTTAAAAGAATGATTTTTTAAAGGTTGATTTTTTATTAGAGATTACCTCTACTTTTTTAAATGACAACATAATTTTTTCTTTTATACATATCATGATTCCTCTAATTATTTTATATAAAAGTATTAAAATAAAGATATTGAAAAATTGACAGTTTATAAGATATATTTTATTTTGGAACATAAAATATCTCTAAACTGTAATTTTTTTGTAAACATATCTTAATGCAAAAAAGAAATGACATGAATCAATTAATGTAAAGAAAATATATAATTTTTAAAAAATGATATGTAGTTACATAACTTGTAATACTTTAATGTCTTATTCTGTATATAAAAAATGTATCGTGATATGAATATGAAAAAAATAAATTAAAATTTTCAATATCTCATGTTTGATTTGCTCGTTATTAATTATTAAACAGATCATGAACAATAGTGTTATATCTTTTGGCTCGATTTTTGGCTTCGTAGATCCACGCTATCAATGTTACTTTGACAGCATAAAATACAACGTACGGCATTGCATTTCTGTGGTTAATCTGTCTGATTCAATCAAACTGATAGACAATCCATCTCGCCAATCTATCATATTGAAGTACAATTCGAAAGTAATGACGATTATGATGTAGATTATGATGATTAGATTGCAAGAAACTGTGGAAACTGACTGAAAATTATATTTAGTATCTGCACTTGCTAACGTTTAAGTGTCATTTCTTCAAAGCTTTAAGCTCCTTTAGCAAAAAAGAGTTTTTCTGCTTGTGATAAAACCACTTGACTAAATGTGGTTGATCATACAAACAACAAATTTTCTAAATCGTTGTTGATCTTCTTGAAACAAGCTTTTACATAAACACAATTTATACAACATATTTATCTGAAAAGTTACCAGATTGAAGTGCAATAAATAGTTTGATGGAGAAATGCCAGTTATAATAACGGATTAATCTAGATTTTTATATAATATTGTTGTAATATAATATTGTTGTAATATAATTTTATATAATATTGTTATAATATAATATTGTTGTATATTGCTGTGCATCTATTAAATGTCGTTTGCATTTTGCGAAACATTAACATTGTAGTGAAAAACATATATATATATGAAGTTTGGAAAGTCCGAAGACCTATATCTTCGTACTTGAATGTACCATTGTAGAACACGAGTGTTCTTTATGGAGAGAGTCTCTATTTGTAAGTGTTCTGTCAAGCGGCATAATCTGATAGTTCTTCAGTCAATGGTACACTGTGTAAGTGTCCAAAATCGTGAATGTAGCATTTCTCTACAATGATCGAATGCGTCAAGTAACGAATTTGTTCATGCAGTGAGATAAAACAGGTCTCATTTGTGAAAAAACGTTGATTGGCGCTTCATCACGATAATTTATCCATTGATCTCATTATCTTCGATTTTTTGACGAAACACGAATATTCGAAGTCTGACAGTCTCTGTATAATTCAGATATAGCTCCGTGTGATTTTTGATTATTTCCAAAATTAAAAAGAAAGAGATTTGATGATATGGAGGACACAAAATGCAATGAGGTATTTGCTGGATATTTTAAATGCTTTCAAGAAAGATTGCTTCCGAAAGTAAGAGCAGAGCTGAAAAAAAATTATGGCTTCCAAAACAGAGTATTTTGAAGGGGACGTAATTATTGATCCAAACAACAATTAGAAATAGTTCTTTTCTATAGTGTCGAATACTTTTCGAATATATCTTGTATGAATGCAAAGTTAGTAAAATTTAATTATATTGCGCGCGCGCACCCCTATTATTTAAATTTAGAATTAATATAAATGGATATCTAAATTAGAGTTAATTGTATCTTAATATTTCAACTAATAATTTATTAATTTTTTAACAAAAGATACAGCATATGATCTATAACAAAAATTGTCTGGACAAAAAATTATCTTAACATAATTAGATTTTTAAGCACAATAACAGAAAGAAGCGATCACATTATAATACATTTCTTTTAATAAAAATTTAATAAAACTTTCTATAAAAATGAAATAAAACTTGAATTATAAATGTATCTAGAAATATTGATTAAATATTAAATTTACTTTAAATATAATTGTTAATTTGTCTTAATTTTCGGTACAATCTATTAAAGTATAAATAAAAATTAATATGTATTAGATAAGAAATTTGTTGTAAATATCTTCAATAAAAATAAATACTTTCTAAATAATCATAGTTGTAAAATACGTTACATATATTCTATTTTTATTTACGAAGACTTTAATAATTTAAGAGAATCTTAAAACAAATATAACTATGTTATATGTTTAAATATATTTGTACAAATATGAAATTGATCGATTACATTAGAAAGTCGCAATAAAAAAAGAAAGTATTTTTAATATTAAAAAATAAATTTCTTTTATATATATTTTATAAGATTCTTTGTGCTGATTTAGATTGTTTGTGTAACATTGCTTGCAGTCTTTTCATCACAAGAATGCGACAAGATCAAAAACTGTATTAAAATTAAAAAATATGTAGTGATAGTACCCATCATCTAAAAAAAAAAAAAGTCATAAATTAAATGCTAGAATTTAATTTAAAAATATATTCAAATAATTACGGTAAACAGTTGATAACTTACTGCTCTGACAAGCGTCGCGTTCAATGAGAGACCTTTTGCGGAGAATATGTTATCACAATGCATTATTTGTAAAGAAAACAAGTGCAACTATAATAAAAAATATTAAATAAATTATAATAAAAAATATCTAAAATATATTTAAGAAAAGTTATTATTAATTGCGTGATTATATTTTACTTATAAAAAATGTGTATCACTATACGAAATATTTAAAAAATTAATAGA